GATTTTGCTAGCAATCTGAATCTGCTTAAACCAGACTTGACCAGAGGCAGTTTTATGACCATAGTGATAGACCTTCGAGTTCCTCAACAACTATGAACTATCAGGGCAGCCTGTGATTGATTGGTCTATTTCACAACGCTTTTCAACAGCATAGGTTACATAACGTCGAGTGGTAAGATGATATATAATGAATTGAGAAATAAGCAGTATTAGCCCAACTCATAGTTAATTTCTCAAACTCTGGTGTATGAATATACTGGTCAGAAATTCACAACCCTTCGAACCTGTTTATTGTTGGGCAATAAGGTTAAAGATCGACAAAACATTACTGAAACCTGTAAATTCCACCAATGTGCGCCGATGAAATTCGAATAACACCCAAACTGCAAAGTAACAATTTCTCTTCCTGCCGCCATGAAAACAACCGTTCAATGTTATGTTATTTTTTTTATACTGAATCGTTCTAAACAGTGGTAACATACGGTTCAACTGGTTCATCTAGCAGACACAGATAACACCACAAACAACCTGCGACCTACACCGATAACGCGGTGGGGGAAAACATGGTGATTTCATGCACAGCTGATGTGACGTAAAGGGTAATTATCATCCACATAAACAACTCGAGCAAGGATAACGCGATTATAATGACATTCATAATTCAATAATTTTATAAAAAATGTATAATTGTTTCAGTTGTTATTTACATCAGGCTATTTTAAGAAACACTTTACAAAGAGCATAAATATGGCGACACTTGTGAATATTTTATTTGCAGTGTTTACCATAATTTTGTTATCATTCTTAATAATTGTAGATAGACAACCAAATTAATGAAATAATAACAAACTCCATGTTAAGAATCACAAGAACTTGCCACCAGACTGTCAGTTCAGTCCCTACCTTCACACCAAATTGAAAATCCAATTTACAATTTTCCCAAGGTTTTCCACACGGCCTCATCCCTTGAAATTCCCCAGCAAAATTTTGCATACATTTCATCCATGCACGATACATGTCCTACTCATTTCATTCTCCTCTATTTAATCGCACCAGCATTAAACTATTGAGTATAAATTCATAAGCTCCACCAGAACTAAACATTTTCAGAAGATTATGTTGTTAATTGTGGTTTTCTGAATGGTTTGGAGTGCAATCTTCTTATTGGTGGCTACCATAGTCAACATCTTCACTGCAGTGAAACCTCAAACATGTTTCATTAATCTTTATAATTCTATTCTGCATTCTGGTGATAGGGAACAAACATATACTTAATTCCTCCTGTGTAAGACAAACCTCTTTTAATAATTCTTTGTAGAGAATTTCCCCCCCAATTAATTTAATGTCAGCAACACAGATCAGTAGTAGATGCATTCCATTCAGTTTCCAACCCTTCCTAATTTCCAAAGACTTCCCAAGTAGCTTATTCTTAAATGAAGTTGTAAAGCAATAAAAATAAAGCACCTCTTATTTCACTTTCCTGAATAGAAAATTTATCAAACAAATGTTTTCTAAGAAGAAAAACTGCAACTGATGTTAGAGTGTGTAACAGTCCTACCGTTTTTAAACAGATTGTTGTCACACATGGCTTTAACCTGTTTAAGATGTTCACAAAACTATACAGACACCATGTTGCCCACATCTTCATATTTATTAATACTTCGCCACAAACATACCAACATGAAAAATATCTGAGTTCAGCAAGCCACTTGCTGTGCCATGGAATGCAATGCTGCAAATAAATTTAAACTATGCAACTTTTATAAAGGAAACTTCTTCTGGGAATGTAAAACATGACAGCCATGAGATGTCTGTATTTACATTCAGTTTATGACAATAAGTAATAAAGCTTTTGAGTTATGAATGAGAAATCTTGTGATACAGCAAATCATAAATGTACCTACAAATTCTGCTACAACTGACACAGTGGCAGCAAATTTTAAAATTGTTGACTTATAATACACACTGTTGGATACTGTGCAAAGAAGTATACAGCAAATTTAATTATTAATTTGTAATTATTCTGCTTACATAAATTCAACTTCTGTAAACAAAGAATGACCCTGTAAAGTTACTAAGACAATATGAGAATCTAGGTTAATACTGACTAAATTCTGTAACCTTTGGTACTTCAGACCATATAAATGTACAAATAATTTTTTTCCTAGAAATGTATGTTGACAGCTAATCATATTCACTCATAGTGAGCACTTGCAAGTATGAAGTATATGAAGGTTTATGAAACAAACATTAAAATCTCTGCTACTGTCAAACTGGCATGAAAGAAATAAATGTAATTGTGACCTACCTATTGAGACACATGTGCAAATAAAAGAAATATTATTCAACACAGATGTGTAGCTGTGTAAAGGAAACAAAAAAGAAAAAGAAAACTTGTTAATTGTAAAACTGGCTACAATGTACAGTAATTTGAATACACATGCCTGTGAAGTTTTCTGTATTTCCCACATCTGTATCCCAGCTAGGTAAACATGACACTTACAGGAAACAGCTGATGATGAATTTCAATTTTTTCCCCATTGGGTTCAAACATAAATTTTACAGAAATTTCTAAATGGAATGCAGCCGCAAGAAAATTTCATACTTTTAAATAAATATAAATGAAATGCCATAATGGATTAACCAGACTGTACCCACATGCATCTTTATGTGTCAGAGACCACAAAAGTTTGTATTAATAGTATGAATCTGCAGTCTTGCAGTATGACTGTAGGGTGTATCTCTTCAAGTAGGATGAAATTCTGATTTGTCATCTGTATCATAAATGTATGGGGCATGTACTGTGGAATAGATTTCACAGAAGACAATTCCTGTGTTAAAAAACTGAAAACTGTTCAAATTGCTTATAATCAATTGTAAATTGGCTTTACTGTATATGATTTTTTGTTGTTGGTTATCAATCCTAGGATTGGTTTGCAACCCCATTTAGGGGTTGTTTCTTGCGAAGATACCACGGTGGTTTTGCCTTGCCTTCCTTGGCTAGTCTTTATCCATCAGACTGGAAGAGAAAGGACGCGGACAAACATCCATGTCTTGAGTGGGACTCGAACCCATGGTCGCAGCGGCCAGGCGCAAGAGGTCCATACCTCAGACCGCGTGACCACTGCGGCCGGCCTGTATGTGATACAAAGTGCTTATTACCAAAGATTCCATCAGTATCCACACTAATTCCCTGATAGAAGAATGCAAAGTTTCAACACAACCAACACGAAAGTCTGTAATTGTACATGATACTGAGTCAGTTACATTCATCTCTAACCTTCAGAGTCCTGCTTCTGTATAACTGGCATGTGTTGGTAAGTTGCTTGGTTGGTTGGTTATTACTTGCTGCTGTTAAGAGATTTTATGCCGTGTGTTGTTATTACTGTTGCCATGGTAAGTTGATCATTTGCTGTTAAGGGAGGCTTACTATATATAACTCATTTTTATATGGTTGCAACAGTTACTATTACAAACAATTGTTTCTTAAAAAGGACAAATCATAAAACTACTAACTTTCATATTATATTTATCACCAACCATTAATAACACAAATAATGACTAAAACTGAACACAAAGTGAAGGTAAACACTATTTCCCATTAATTCTCTCATAACATAACCTGAAACAGAATTAAAAATGTAGAAGCAATAATACTTACAGGTGCATCGCTGAAAGCACAACAATGCAATACTTTCAACCTCTTACTATTCACAATAAAGCAGATAGAAGAAGTAACAAATAATTATAAGTATTTCAGTAACATGATGGTGTGCCCCTTTCCACACCTGAAATATTAATACTTCCACTGACCTTGTAAAACAGCTTTCATTTTTGCTATTTATTCTTCAAAGATTCATTAAGAAGTAAACACAAATCTATAGTTACAGTTCATGTATGGAATACAAAGAACTGGAGAATGGACTTGCAGCTAAATGGCAGACAGGCTATTGTAAGAAACAGCACACTTCATGATCCAAGCCATGTGGCACCAAATAACTCTGAAAACTATACAAGGTTCTGCATGTATAACATGACTTAGCCATATAAACATTAAAGTCACATACACAGAAGTAATTATGGGGGATTTTTACCTTTATTATTTACGTTATAAAATAACAAATAACATTAAATAAAATAAATGGAGAGGGGTTCCATGTTTTGTGTTACTTTCACATGATTACCACAAAGGGATGTCTCAGAGAGACAGTGCAAAGCTACACTACCTACTGAACAACTAAACACAGTATTCATATTTATTAAAAAATTTTACATTACATTTCCACACTGTAATTTGAGGAGAATTGTAATCTGTAAATTACTTTGTAACAGGGCTTTACAAGCTCTTGTACCATTGTGACAACATTTACTGCAGAATTTAACTTGTGTCCCCACAGGCTTCTTCCCTGTTTTCACACCCAGTATAGAAAAGCGAGAGCAATACTCTACTCTGTAGGATTTGAGATTTTCACGGAGGTGAGTCTGAAGATGGCTGTCTTCTGGGTTGTTGCACCGTGTAGTCTGGTAGACCGCACTGATGATGGAGGCAGCAAGGACCTCTGAAACTTCAGTAAACATCTACCAGACTACAGGATGGAACAACCCCGAAGACAGCCATCGTAATACTCTATTCCCCATAACTTCACTCATTCACACACAACTAATGACAAAGGTACATATGCTGATCAATGTCTTTCACCGGATGAAATATAAATTGTGCAACACTGTCTCTGCTGTATGGGAGTTACAGCTATCATGACTCCCCATTGCCACTGTCATCTCCATCTTCATAATCTCCATCACCCGAGTCATTGTCTTCCTCATCTTCATCATCCAAGTCATAATCATCATCATAGAAGTCTGTCATGTCCACTGAGTGTTCTGGGGGCTTCACCTTAGTCTTGATACAGTAATCTTCCAGTGTAAGCGGCACCACTACTCCATCTTTCTCTGCCTCCAGCCTTGCTGCAGACACTTGTTTCCTGCAGTGGTAAGTTTTAATAAAAGAAAATAATTTATTTAAGTTTACATACAGAGTTTTGGGGGACTTGAGGTTAAATGTACTAGCAGCTGGTCACATGAGCAAAGTACTCTCACAAAAATAAGCAAAGAGGTGCACTAATGTAACCATTTTTCACACTCATGGGTATGGTGAGTGTCTCACTTTATGAAACAAGTTGCTGTTAGTTCCATACCTGTTCTGTGTCACATGATTATAATATTACATTTTGCCAACTTTAATTACATTTTAAATTATAAAAAACTTTTGTCAACGGATACAGCTTGTTTGCTAAAGAAAATATACATTGCAATGTGCAGCTGCAAGTTTATGCTGTTTGCTATTCATAACAGGGCATCAGTGCCTAATGTATTGCTACCTTTATACTCAATATGTTAAAAATCCATATTTCTTTTGCAACACAATGCAAAGACTTGGTGTGGGACTGTCTGCTATGACCATGAAGGGTTTTGAAATTAATTTACATGTTTTTTCTAAACAATAAGACCTCTTTAGTCTAGGGTACACTGCATGCAACTCATCAGGCTACATACCTTATTATATTTTCATACTCTTTATCTTTTCCTTTTGAGTCCCTCCAACGTCTATACATTACTGATGCATCAACGTTTGCAGGACTGAATGTGTTGGGCTCATTTAATAATGAGATCACAGAGAGCAGAATTGTTCTGGAAAAACAAAAATGATATAATGTTCAGCTGCAAAACATTTATATTGGTCTTACAGTGAACAGAACTGGAACACATAATCATCACGTACCTGACATTCTGTGTAGGATTCCACCTTTCGCAGGGCAGCTCTCCACTCTGAGGGTCGTCAACTGGTGGATGCAGAATCGAAATACACAGATCACCATTCTGTAAGACAAAGTTACTCTCAGAGTCAGACAGACAAGACTGAAGGGCTGGCTGACACAGTGTTACACAAAGGGCTCATGCCTGACTGCTTGCATATCCACATGGAATAATAAATCTTCAGGGCAAAGAGTGAAAGGAAGAACAAAGAGACACTGAAAAGAAAATTTTTGGGCTGGTACAGGCATTGAACTGCCTAATCTTTCAACTTAACACATGGCTAAAAATTTCAGCTGGATGCCAAAGAACCCAAACTTTGTGGTCACTTTCCATGTACATGCCAAATTGATCATCAAATGTTTTTTGAACAAAATGCACAGAATGAGTGTATAAGTTGAGGTTGTATATGTTCATGTGTATTTCCCAAAACTACTTGATGAATTTTGATGCAATTCTCAAGGAAATTTTAATTCTGGGGTACACTGATCAAACATAACACCCAAATTACTGATCAGATTTCCCCCAAAAAACAACTCATCTTACAAAACATTAGTTCATGGCATAATATATACATATCATTATCACGCGCAACTATCGCTTAGAACATCTTTTTGTATAGTAAATAATTAATGAAATATTGAAAATAATTTATGATCCTGTATAGTGAAAACATGTAGTGTGATTAGGTTTACAACAACAGATTTGAATTTGCAATAAATAAACCTGTTTGCAATGAGAAATTTGGAAAACATGTATGAAGTATACTTTCCATATACATATTGAATGATAATTCAAAATGATGAGTTGAACTGCCCCCTCAGGGAGCCACATCAGTGGGTATGGGGACTGGCATCCCCAAGGTACCTGAGCTACCCTGTGCCTGGAGGTATTGCTGGGCCACCCTACCTCTGGGACTGTAAATATAGAGGTTTGGTCCTACAGGTTGGGGGTTGGGCGTGGGGGCTGACAACCCCATCCTGTAAAAAACAACTTGTTACGAAATCAGATGAAGCAACTGCCGGATGGACTCATTCACAGTGGACTGGCAAACAGATTGTCTGTGAATGAGGAAGAATGGAAGAAGCTTTTGAAGAAGGCCAATGATGATGATGATGATGAGTTGAACTGCATTCAACATGGGCACACAGTCAAATTAACTGATCAGCTGACTGGAGGTCCCATAATGTTGGAAGAGTGCCAGATGAAGCAATACTCTGTATGTTAGTTCCACCATCTTAACATTGTCAGTTATCTTCAAGTACAGACCACAAACCTGTTCTAGCTCCATCCAATATTTACAATGTCTACCAATATTTTTTCTTCCTCATGGATGGCAACACAAAATGGTTTTTGATAGAACTCTCTTCTAAACACTTTTGCACATATGAACTTATTTTGCCTCTTGTGGGAAATATATATATATAAAAATTCTATCTTGAGACTAGCTAAATGGGTAGATCATTTTAATTTTGGAAGAATATTCTATACTTTTGTTCCTTTGTTAAAATCCAAGTTTCACTTCCATGTAGTGCAATTAGAAACATTCTTTACATATCTAGTTTCATTTTCTTTGGACAATGTGCATCAAATGAAAGAATGATGGGAATCCATGCCTGTCAACCTGCTAGTCTAATCTCTAAAAGTGCTTAGTGGATTAAGTGTCTAGACTGCAAGTGGCCAGGCAAATTTAATTTTGGTGTATACAAGAGTAATAAATAATAAGTAATAATACTTTCCATGAAAACCAAACTGAAATTTGTCAAATTCATCAAAAGCATGCATTGCACCCGTTAAAAAGTACACGTGATGAAGTACAGATATCAGTACAATCCATAACATTTAACTGAAACACTTTTCAATGTGGCAAATCCTTACTAAAACAGAAAGAAAACAACTTGTGTACTGTGTGATATATATATATATATATATATATAGTGCAATCAGCTTTACAACAATATATTTAATAGACAAGTAGGCAAAATAGTAAAGGACATTATGAAGCAGAGTTTTCTGAAAAGATCACAGTCGTTCAGCTGGTCAAGAAATTACCCATCTTTTCTGGGATCTGACGGTTCATTTCTGCATTTATAAGAACCTGTCCTGAGTCAGATGCAGCCGATTCACACCTGCACATCCTAATTATTTTAAGATTCGCCATAACATTACCTTCCCTTGTACACGTCGTAGGTCTACCCTGTGGTTTAAACTGTTCTAGTTTTCCGGCCCAAGTTTGTATGCATTTTTCATCTGTCTCATGAATAAATGTTTCTATGGCCATTAAAAACACACCCAACTGCACAATCTACGAATTTCCGAGCTTTTAGGGCTACATGATGTATCCTATTAATAGGGCAATGGAAAGCATCTTGACGCAATCCTTCGCCAGATTACCCAACACAGTGGCTAGTAAACCGGGTAAATCACGGCCAAAAAAGTGTCTCGAACAACTTTCGTTGCCTTTTTCCCGGATTCGCTGAATACTCAGGCCGGTTCCATTCCGGAATTCTGTCGCTGCTACACCGAGCCCTGGCGATACGACGCACGATCTTACACATCACTCAGCGTGGCCCTCACACTGACAATAAGACAAACATCTAAGCAAATTGGAAGAAAATTATGGGTTTTCTTGGTGGGAGGGGTGGGGTGGGTGGGGGATTCTTGCTGAAGATCGAACTATCACTGTGAGCCTTCGGTGAAGCAGCGACAAACGCAGAAAAAAACACATTACAGTACGAAAACCGGCAAATACAACCGACAGCTTTTGCGTTTTGCTCTTCAAAACTGGTATTTATAACACAAAACGCGTGGCCGATGCGCGACAGTTGCGTCCCAAGGAAAGGATATTTTTACTTCAGAAATAGAGTGCCAAATTAAAATAGATCTGTGCTTGATCCCAACAACAATGCGCCATCTGAAACCATAATAAACATGACCAAGGCGTACTCCACTTGTATTTACCTGCCATTTTGTACGTATCCTACCTATTTAATTAATTTATTACAACCATGATCCTTATTTTAATTACTTGTGGTTTGTTTAATGACGCTGTCAGTATCTCATTGCGCATCGCAAAATGAAAGGGTGATTGGTGAATAATGTAAAGGAAAAGAACCGAAAGGAAGCGGTCGTGGCCTAATGTAATGTACTATTCCGGCAGTTTCTTGAAAAGACTGTACGAAAACAACGACAAACCTGCCATAATGCCAAAATTCGAGCCCGGTACATCTCGAATATGAAGACGTGCAGCACAGTCCATGAATAGCTGATAGTCGCTTAGCTGGTCAAAAATTCATTGTATTTATTGGCCCTAACCGAAGATTTTAGATGCTATTGTTAGTCTTACGGATAGAAACTCCGTGTGGACTTGAAGGTAGATACCATCGTTTTGGAGGAACATACTGCTCCCAAGATGGAAGCAGCATGTTCTTTCGAAACGTTGGTGATATGTACTTACAAGTCCACGCGGCGTTACCACACAGAAGACGAACACCGACATAATACTGAAGTTCACCGGAGTCCTAGAATGTTCGTATCTATTTCTGGCGTATTTAACGACGCTTTCAACACCTCAGATTAAACAGCATCGATGATACGATGTTCAGTGAATAACAAAATGCAAAGAATTCGAAAAGTAAATACGTATACACTCTCTGACATTTGGAGCGCAGAGAAAAACCACGGAAATCTTCTGACAAGAGTGCTAAGCACTCGAAATCGACGTTCCGTCGACCAGTTTTGCTGCCGGTCGCACACAACCTACTTCGTTCCAAGAACGCTTGGCACTGACAGCTGATCCTTCCTTTGTTGTGAAACACGTGGCCGGAGAAACAATCGAAGTACCTAACGCGTGCAGGCCGACACGCGCAGCGTTGCGTCACTGCTTATTCAGAAAATCCATAAATTTTAAGTCGCCTCTTCATTCTGGGAATTCGATTTGAAACTTCGTTTACTGAGAAGATCTCAGTGCGCCCTCATCACTGGACTTTCACCTGCGTCACGGCTATGAATTCGTTATTGTTTCGTTCCAAATCCAATGCCAAAGCCACGGGCGATTTCGGACCCTGAACGTGCGTGTCAGGGCAACATAAAAGACAGGCGTTTAAATGGAACACGGTATCTATTTCTGTAGTAAGAATGTACCAGACGTCGAAAGTAGAACGAATAAATTCAAAATATATATATTAATGCCGACGTTGGCCTTCTGGGTTGTGATGCCGTGTAGACTCGTACGTATATTCCGGGAAAACATCTTTAACGCCGTGAAAACCTCAAATCACAAGAAATATTTAACGTTCTTCTTTCTCTCCACATGAACAATTGTCTGTTCAATAAATACGTGGATGAACTCGTAGTAGGGGGACCCGCCAGGATATTTTCATCGCCATCCAACGTATTTCGATTAAATTTGGTATTAGCATTCTGCAGTATAAATGAACAGAATAAATTAACTTCGGTCCGATAAAACCCCTACTCGCGAATGGTCCAAAAGTTAGTTCGATAAATAAAATACAGGCCTAGAACACATCAAGATTTCCAGTATTTTTTTAAAATGTCCGATGTAATGAATAATTAACTAAATAAGTACCTACAACATGGAGAATAGGATTATCCCAGTAAATTAAAATCAAAGTTCAATGGATACTTCTATGCGTAGAGTGTCTGACATGAAGTATATTTGCATATATACTGATAAAAATGAGAAAGAGGTAACAGAAGATGATAAAAACTAGAGAAAGAAGATCTTTACTATTCGTAGTCCTCAAACATCAGGGTATTATTAGCGTAATTATATCAAGTAGAAAGCTCTAATGAAGAGACCATTTGGGAACCGCAGGTTGTAGGCTGAGATGGGAGTTCACATTAAGCAGTGCGGAAATAAACTAGCTCACACATTATCCGACAGAAAGCTTTTATGAACACGGCAATGAAGCAATGAGGCCCCTTCACCAACCGCCCTTGCCAACAAGCTCTATTAATCACTGCGCTGCCCTTGACGATCCCGGAGTCTCTGGCAGCCTGCACAATGCGATCACGGTTCAACTCCCTGTCAGGGCACGGGAACTTGTCTGCGATTTTAGAGGCTTACAGGGACCCGCCGCCTGTCTGAAAATCACCGCTACAGAAAAGATAGAATCTTGGTTTATTTAACGACTGTTTAGTGGGAAGGAACGAGTTGCAGTCTATGTGAAAATTATGAACAACACCGGCCAGCACTGCAGTACGATGAGCTGACTGCGAGCCCCACAACCGGTATGACTCTACAGCGGGGAGAAAGGTGAGGGTATAACGGGGCTCCTCACCAAAACTTATCATTAATTAACGGAAAGACGTTGAACTTGCGAACAGGCTTTGGAGTCCGGCCAGCGGAGTACCCTTCGCGGACTACGCATTGGGTTCAAAAACTGACTGAACCAAGTCAGACCAGACAGCAATCTACGAGTAGCGTGTTTAACGACGCCCTGTCGGTCTATTTCAAGGCACTACTTTCCGTATGTTAAACATTTGCTATCTACAAATATTCAGTTTTTTCAGGTTTGGTTAGTTCCTGGGTGTACGGAACAAGGAATTGGACATGGCAGATGATGAAAAATGTGGAATAAAGCAACCATGGTTTATTTTTAGTTGTTATTCCTGCATTTGTCTGGATGGACTAAGTAAAATCATGAAATACCCGTCCGTGTAGCCGATCTCCCGAACAGAAACAGCAGAAAAACAAATGCGGATATTGGGATATCAAATGGGAAACTTTCTGCTGTATTTATGAAAACAGCACTCGATACTTCACATTAAATACAACAATTGTGTAAAATTTCAGGGCACACGTAGCCTATTTTGTCCAATTACTACTAATCTGTATGCCGTGAAAACACATTATATCAAATCACGTTTGAAATAAAAATTGCTTGTTTTTATTTTATTGAAATCCACTGAATTGTTTGTGGTCGGTAGTTCAGTTCATGCAAAAACGTACGCATACGCAATTGTCTATGGCACAGGTCTGTGGCCTATAGGAAGTGAAAGTTCATGTCGCTGTAGAAACACTTTGTTCTCGAGGTCAAAAGCTTTCTCGGCCTCTATTAATAGCGTAACAAGGCAATTCAGTAAACCTCGGTTGCAAAGGCTGCTGAGTTGCGTCTAATTCTCTTGGACGTTCCTATTTCGCATCTCGTAAACATGCGGTACTCTAAATTTAGTCCAGAAGGTCCACACGAGTCATAAGCTTCATCATTCTTTTATGCTCTGAAATGCCCAATAGGCTGAACCTCAGGGTCGCACTGTCTTACACGATACGTATCCGAAAATTGTACGTATCCTTACGCGTTAGCTGTTACTGTCATTGTATTTTCAATTTGTGAACGCCAACTCTTGATGCTATCTGATAAATAACGCAATATAAGGGGGGTGCGAACAAGGGTCATAAATATGACCAAAATCAGACCAGCAGATCTCAAGTAACGAGATGACTTACAAAGCACAGAAAAATCTTAAATATTTAGCGAGTTACGCTCGAGATGTGCGCAGCGGGTCTTCGTTATTGCTATACGATTTTAACCAAATCCGGGATGTGTCAATAAATGTTATTAAAACTCCATTCTGCAGTCCTAAAGTTGATACACGCAGACGGACAGACAGACAGACAGGGCGAATATAATACGCGCAATTTTGTTACTTTGTTGAAAAAGAGAAAGAACACTAATCTTTTAATGTCACAGTCTGTTATAAAAATAAGGAACGTAATTATTTACACCAATAAACACAGGTTGATTCAAAATATGTGCGAGATACCCGCACACGGAAAGTTGGATAATGAGAGTGTTTCAAGAAAGTGACTTACTTCATGAAGCCGAGGCCTTCCTAGAAGCTTAGCCACTGAAGAAATATCCAACATTTTACGGAACCCGTGTTCACTGGTCCCTATACCAACCTGATAAATTCAGTCCATAAATCCCCATCCTATTTATCCAAGATCTATTTAATATATAATGTGAAGTTTTTACGGACGCTGTCAATAAAATATTTTCAGGCCATCAGCCATATCAGATGATTAAAACTTGCCGACGTTTCGAAGATAATTTCTGTCGTCATCCTCAGGGCTAGAGGATGACGACAGAGATGGTCCTCGAAATGTCGGAAAGTTTCAATCATCTGATACGACTGATGGCCCAAGAATATATTATTAATTGAGTAAGGATGTTTACGAATGCAGTGGTAGTAAAGATATGCAACTTAAAGACGTTATTTCAACATGGTAGAAGCATCGAACGAGATGGGAAGATTATCATGAATTATGAAAGAGGCAGCTGCAGCTTACTTCAATGTGCTGCAACAGCATTCGCCTAGAGTAACTCAGGAAAACTTCAGCCGGTGACATAACAAGAGGTTCGAATCGAGTATCTCCCGAAAAAAAGTAAGAAACGTTGCCTTACACCAAGCTGCTTCGCTATCCAGCCTGAATTCGGTGTACGGGGTTCGTGGAAGCAAACGCGGTGCTGAACAGCGCTTACGGCACAGGCGACTCACGCTTGTTTCTGCAGGGAGACTGTCAGTCTCTCCAATACAAAGTTCAGGTGTTGAAGACACAGAAAGTGGTACGAAAATCGAACTTCTTAAGAAGCAGTGAGGATACACTCCAGCTCAAACCTTGCCATCCTTAAAAATTTGATTACCCTCATCTATTTTAGTATTTCCATACCTTCTTCTTCTTTATTAGGCCGTCTCCTTTACAGGAGGTTGGTGACATATTATGAACAGGATCCTTCCATCCTTTTCTCGGACTGGGACCTGTTCATATACGTTCTTGGCAGATGATCCAGAAGTGGTTTGCCATTGCCTTCTTCTGTGTGTGAATGGATTAATTGTTGGGATGCCACGGAGAAACCGGGGAAGCCCCCGGAGGAAAACTCCGTGTTGCCTAGACCACGGCCTTGCCCAACACAAGTTATAAATTTCCTAGGTAACAACAATGCCGAGTAAACAGGACGTTCCCTAGGTACACTTGTTACACTTTTTCATTTCCCTCTTTCGTCCCCTTTTTCGTTACACTTTTTTGCCGAATGACCCTTCTTATAGACGTATTTACGTCAAAAAGTCAGTATCGCGGAATGAATTATTATGAAATATAAAACTCGAAAAATGCACAACCGCGACACGGACTTACAAATGTAACGCAAACACTGTATGCTCGGCTTGTTCGGTCGCCAGACAATATAACGTCAACACAGGAACAACGACGGTGGACCATTAGGAAGTCTCTTGCTCCCGTCTGTAACGATCAGAGGCGAACGGATAGCAGAAAATACATATCCCAAAGAACTGAATAAACGAAGGCTACAACCCACGGAGGAGCAAAAAGGCCACGAGGCAATCAGCCAAGTTCGTGAGTTCGAAACGTTCCGACCCAAAGAACGTCAAACTGCACGAAACGAAGCGATGAGCGCTTCGTGCAAGACTCCGCTCTTAGTT